CAGAGAGAACACAGCGAGCTGGAGCACAGCGGGATGCGAGGCCCAAGAGGTGGGTGAGGCCGGGTCACCAGCCTATCCGGCCAGCTGAGAAGCCCGGAAATGGTGTGATCCAGGCGTGGCTACGGCAGTGCAGGCCCGTCCTGCTGTCTGACAGACTGACGCATTACAGGTGGAGGGGGACTGGACAGCAGACACCCAGCGGGGGCCAGAGGGTAAGCCCTAGAGGGAGTCCTTCCTGGTTCTCCTTTCCTCCTTCCAGCATCTTCCCAGGGCTTTCGCCCAGACGCCAGGTTTGCGCTGGGACCGCCTATGGAAAGTCGCCACCTTGTGGAAGGTTCAGGGATTACAGATCTAGAAATGACAATGTTCCTCACGCATCAATTCAACACATATTCCCCAATAATTATAACCAAAGTGCTGAGATAAGGAGCTCTCCATTAGGAGGCGAGAACAGAAATGCAAACAGAAGTAGCCAAATACTCAGAGGTATGAGTCTTCCTGAAGCAATGGGGCTTCAGAGATGACACCTGGGCTGGGTCAGGTAGATAGAAGGGGTCCTTAGAGGCCGCCTCTGATATCCTCACTTTACACGGTGGGTGATTGCAGCACAGGATAGGGAGGGATTTGCTCAAGGTCGCACAGCTCTTCAGGGCAGAGCTGGGGCGAGGACCCAGGTTTCTGAGTGTCCCAGCCCAGGGCTCTTTTTCCAATACATGATTGGCCTTCGGTTTAAATTGATCCCATTCCAAGTGCTCTAGAAGTGGCCTTTGCAGGAACTGATCCTCTGCCCCTGCCTGTCTTTGTGCCCCATAATAGTAATGTGTTCCAGCCTGCGTTCTGGAACAATGATCTCTTCCCTCAGTCTCTGTATTCCATCCGTGAGAAATTGCAAAATGCTAACTAAAACTCTCCCTGGGGGGACGCTGTGCTTAAGCCAGGCTCTTGGCTTCAGATCCCAGGAAGGAGGAACAAGGTGTGTGCCAAGAGCGTCTGTCCTTGGAGCTAGCATAGTTCTCAGTGCGTAGGTACTTCGTGAGTGTTTGCGACAGGAATGAATGAGTGAGGAGGAGCGAGGAGGAGGATGGGGCCTGAGACGTCAGTCCCAGCTCTCCTGTGGGTCCAGCGTTGAGTCTTGTCTAGGACAGTCTGGAAAGACAAGTTGGGGCCAGATCACAAAGGTCGCTGAATGCCCAGCTAAGGAGTTTGGCTTTATTCTACTAGCAGGGGGCACCCAGGCCTGTTTGCAATCAAAATCTAGGTTGGTTTCATTCCTTTTCGAAGAGAGAAAAAGAGTCCCCAGTCAAGGGTCATACCTGCCCCAGAAAGCCATCAGTCTTACTTAACGAAGAAATTGCACTAGGTTTTCCAGATGTGAGTTCTTTTGTTTGTAAATTTAATAATTAAACCATATCTCTACAGAATCAATAGAGGCTGTCATGTGATAAGCTCATGATAAGCACAATCTTTGTGATATATTGTTGTATTTCCTTCTGTAACATCATCCAAGCTCTGAAGGCTGCCAAATACAGAGATCAAATACTGTAACTCTTCCTAACCTGGGTCTGGTGTAATGAGTCATCTCTTTCCTCACCCTCTGCCAACTTCAGCACCATGACATAGACCCTGGAAAGAGGTCTTTAGTGGAGTGCTATAGGGCTATGTTCTGTTTAATGTTTTTATTGATAACGTAGATGAACTCAAAGAGAGTATTCAAGTGCCTCAAAGCTGGAAAAAGAAATGAATATCCATTGGATAGAAGAAGTGATATTCAAAAAGGCTTGCATAGGTTAGCATGGTGGAGAATCAAACCGAATGTTAAAAAATTCTAGGGATACAAGTCAAGTTATACATTTAGATTAAACATTAAAATGAGAAAGTCCCAGAAAGGGGATATGAAATACACCATGCCAGTTTCAAAAAGGATCATGTGTGGACCATGGCAGCCCCTCAGAAATGGGTCCCTGTTGCTAGGGACAAAATTTTTCTGAACTGAAGCATTTTAGAACAAATGTGTTAGCTTTTCTCCACTTTAAGGTGGGCTGCCTTCCCAACCTCCCCAGGGAGGTTGGTGACAATTCAATAATGACTCCTCCTTAATGGTGTGAAGAGAGGAATTGTAGAATTGTTAGGAAAATGGCCATGATCATTCAAGAATTTAAAGTATCCACTTGAAGCCTGGGCAGTGGAACCAGGAAGGACCAGCAGAGGGGCACTCCTGTTGCTCCGTGAATTAATATAAAAACGTGTTTGCAGACAGGATTTGTCTTAGAGGTTTTGCAGAACTTTGCCCTGAAGGAATATGTGAACGTGTTGGTTTGCATTTCAAATGCTGTTACACTCGGAAGGGTGTCTCTGAAAGACAGTAGCGGCTGTATCCCACAAGGCGCTGTGTTTCTCAGACCTAAAGGTTTGGACTTGCTTTGTAAAGCAAAGTGAATCTGTTAAAAACTACAGGCTGAGAGCTGACAATGGAGTGCCCCCCGGAACAGACAGCTGCCCGAATGGCTAAAGCAAAGCTCTTGTTTTAACACTCTAGACTGCTTGTCTCCATTCATAATAACCTAATAAATATGGAGCCAACATATCTCTGTTTAACCCCTCTGTTAAGTGATAAACTTACCTTAGAACTTAGAAGTTAACCTTTGAAAGATTTTGTAACCGTTTGCTCACGTAGATAGAATTAGTTAAAGAATCTGTAGAAGCCTTTTGAAAATCTGTTAACCTGAGAGGAACTACCTGCTGTTATGTAAATCTGTTACCCCTGGCAATTATTCACTATTCCCTATAAGTTACCATGTAAGACCTCATTCGGGGCTTTTTGAGACCCACGGAGAAGGTCTAGGCCCCCTGAGATCCCACTTTGCCTATAATCTTTATAAACTTATAAAACTATATCTTTGTCTCTGTGTATTCTTTTATTTCTTTTATTTTCCATTTTTCTCTATTATTGTCTTATCCCTTGCAACTCTACCAAAGGGACCCGGTTTTTTGTGGGGAACATTGGCCATGTTCCCGGCACACTCCTGGAAGAGAGAGCATCTCCGTGTGCCTAAGAGGAGAAGAGCTTTGCAATTCTTTGAATAATGTGGCAAAGACACACCAAGAACTGTTTCTTCCATTTCAGAGGAAATGCACTTACAGTATTTCTTTGTTTCTAGACACCCAACTAAGAGAGTTATGTGGTCCTCAGTCTTCATGTTTCTCTGTCTTTTTTACTTTTCTTTTATCATTTTCATTTCAAGAACAAGCATTTATGGGGCCGCCCCTGTATCCCAGACATCATGATGAATCAGATCTAGCCGTGGCTTCCAAGCCACTGTAGCCTAGAGGGGAGCTGGGACTTGCGCACAGTTAGCTGTGATGTGACTGTACCCTCAGCATCCCAGTCAGTACCTGGCACGTGGTAGGCACCCAGTGAGAGCTAATGCTCATCGAGCGCTTCCTGTGTGCCAGGCACCCTCCTCAGCATTTCATGTGTTTTAGCTCATTTCACCGTCACACATCTCTAAGGTGGATATAGCTTATTTCAGGTAAAACTGAGGCTCAGAGAGGTTGGCAGTGTCACTTGCACAAAGTTACACAGCTAATGAAGTACACACACTGCACCACTGCACCAGACGGCTCCTCCGTAAGGATGTGTTACGTGAACAAGCAAGTGCATGGGATAGGAGGGGTGGAGGCCAAGCCACGGGAAAGAAGGTTGCATCATGGTGCTCAGGAGACACTTCATGGCAGACGCTGTGCTTGAGGCAGGACTTGAGAACAGAAACGATGCTGCTAAGCAGAGGTGAGAGAGGCGCTCCAGGCAGGAGTGAGGGGGTCAGATGGGCAAACGCAATGGCCTGGATGCGTCAGTTGTGGTGCCTGGTCACTGCCTCCACGACCCTCTTCCTCTCTACCATGGCTGATCGGATCAGGAGTGTTACGGACTGAATTGTAAACTGTGCCCGCCTCCCCCGCCGCCATTCGTATGTTGAAGCCCTGACTTCCAATACCTTAGAATGTGACCACATTTGGAGGTAGGACCTTGAAAGAGGCAATTTAGCTAAAATGAGGCCTTATCCTTAAAATAAGGACTTGGACCACACGATGCTTACAAGCCCTCGGCACTCTGTGCTGCGTCAGCTAGGGTGACTGGGCTGCTGTGACAGATAAGCCCCGTACTTCCCTGGCTTCTTACAACAGGACTTTGCTTCTTGCTCGTGGACTAGTCTGTGAAAGGACAGTCTGTGCAGGGGATGGTTTACTCTACGTGGTGGTTCAAGGACCCAGACTCCTTGCATCCTGCGATCCCACTTCCTTTAGAGCCTTAGAGTCCAGCTAGCAGACAGAGGAGAAGGTAGAAAGGACACACTTGCTCCTCGACCGTCTTGGCCCAGAAGTGACACAGATCACTTCCGCTCACATTCCACGCGTGGGACCTAGTCTTCGTTTGCTCCTGGATGCCAGGGAAGCTGGGGAGTAGAGCCCTGGCTGGGAAGATCCTTCTCAGCAACAGCCTTGCTTTACGGAGGGGGAGCAGGAACCCCTGGCAGACAGCTACCGGTTCTGCCCTGTGGGTGGGGTTCGGCTCTGAAACTGCCATGTCTCCAAGAGAATCTGGGAGCCGGTGGTCCTAGTTTATTGCCTTGAGGCAGAGTCCTGGTTTATTGCCTGTAATAATTTTTACAGCCAGCCAAAGGGGCCATGGCTGCTGGCCAAAGCTCCGACAGCTCAGGGGGCCAGTGCCCAGAGCAGGGGCTGAAAGGGCCAGCGAGAGCCTGGGGAGTGGAAACAGGAGAGAGGTCCTGCTTTTGCAGCATGGGAAGGGGAGGAAGAGCAGAGCAGTAGCCAGCACTGTTCCGAAATGAGGAAGAGAGCTGCCTGCGTGCTTTCGTTTCTTGGGTAAATATTTGACTGTATGTTTGCCTTTTCTCTGAGTTTTTGGGTGCTGTGAAGATAACTGGGCAGAACACCAGCTTTTCAGAAGCGATTGTAACCAAGAACCTAGAGGAGCCCAAAGAAGAATCCAGACAAGCTTCCTCTGTCAGCAAATTGCTCACAGGGGCTGCAGGTTGGTGTTTCTCCACCAAGATGCTTCCCGCAGACACAAGGTGAGCAGGTCTAAGATGATCCATGCTGGACAGCTGGGTGTTTTTGGGAACTGTCTTTAATGTTAGTGATTAATGGAAACTGGGGGAAAGGCATTCGCTAATTTGTAGGCAGGTTGGCTTGGAGGAAAGAACCGTACATAGGTTATTGCAGTGAATAGATTTCTTCTCGTCCTCAGTTCAGAAACACAGAATGGAGTGGACAGAGCCTGGATGTGGTATTAGAGGACCTGGGTTCAAATCCCGACTCTATAGTTTCTGGGGAATCTTAAAGCCTCAGTTTCCCCATCTATTAATCAGCTATAAATTATCCCTGTCCTACCTAACCCACGGCTTATAGGATTAGAGATCTGTAAAGTCCTGCCCAGGTAGCAAGAATTAAGAATTCTTACTATAACTTAAATATTTAAGATCTAAGAACTGAAAAGTCTACTCTAAAACATAACAAAAAATAGAACCACCGTCTTCGAGTGTCATAGTATCTGTTGGATACTACGGAGGACAACAGGATGCTACGTAGGACAACAGAGAGAACCGGAGCTATGGAAACAGAGACAGGTACATTGAGAGTCACTTAGAAAAGGAGATACCTGGAATCGCACCCACAGGAGAAGAGGAGGGAGCTGAGGCTTTGTAGGGCAGGGGGACAGAGAGTGGGGAGTCAGCTGGAAGCAGGAAGGGCCCTGGAACTTGACTGCCTGAGTGAATTGGTCCTTCCCGTGCCCCCCTCCAACTGGCTCCTTGGACAGGCAAGAAGGGGTGAGGCTAAGAGGCAACAGGGGAAGGGTGTGGTCAGATGTGGACCTTAGGAATGTCCTGCTGGTCACAGGGTAGAGGATGGGCTGGGGGTAGGAGCCTGGGCAGGAGGCTCCTGCAGCAGCTAGATGAAGAGGACAGTCACCTGGATGAGGGTGGTGGCTGTGGGGGTGGGGAGATATGTCTGGCTTTCGCAGGGACTGGAGAGGAAGGAGTGGAGGATGACCCGGGTCCCTGACTTGGATGAATGGGTAGGGGGTGGTGCCACCCCTGAGATGAGGACCCCAGGGGAGAAGCAGGTTGGCGGGCTGTTCATTTGGGACATGTTAGACCAGGGTGCCTATGGGACATCCAAAAGGAGACAACCAGGAGACAGGCAGTTGGCCCTGTGGTCTCACAGGGCAGGGCTTGGCCTGAGCATGTTGGTCGGATGTGCCTGCCAGTGAAGAGTAAGGGTCACTGTGCCCTCTGAGGACCCCAGATGTGAAACCTTTATCAATGTCTTAATGTCATTTTAGTGCCTGAATGTGTTTCCTGTTTAGAAAATAAAAAAAGGTTCAAATTCCAGCATTGCCACTCACTAGCTAAGGGACTTTTTAACCTGTCTAGAGCCTCAGTTTTCTCGTCTGTGAAGTGGGAATAGTAGTGCATGCTGCCTAGGATGCATTGAAAGGATTAAGCGAGATAATAACTATAAGAACCTTAGCCCCATGTCTAGCACATGGTAAACATTCAATAAATGATAGCTATAATCATTGTTATTTGTATTAAGTGAAAAGAAATGAAAATGAATATTGCTTTATTGGACAGTTCAGAATGGTAGGGAGTAGCAAAAATGGCTATTGTCTTCTCAAACAACCTTTTTTTTTTTTTTGAGATAAGGTCTTCCTCTGTTGCCCACCCAGGCTGGAGTGAGTGCACTGGCACCATCATAGCTCACTGTGACCTCGGACTCCTGGGCTCAAGCGATCCTCCCCCCTCAGCCTTTGGAGTAGCTGGGACTACAGGCGTGTGCTACCATGCCTGCCTAATTTTTTTTTAATTTCTATTTTTTGTAGAGACAGGGCCTCGCTACATTGCTCAGGCTGGTCTTGAACTCCTGGCCTCGAGTGATCTCACCTCGGCCTCCCAAAATGCTGGGATTATAGGCATGAGCCCCATGCCCGGCTCTAATTGTTTTTCATGCTAGCTCTGTCTGAACTTTCCAGACACATGTGAAAACACCTATGTACATCCTGTAAGGGGGGGCACCTGCCCAGAGCTGTCCTTTCCCGGCTGTACAGTAAGGCCTGAGTGAATGGAGCGGTCAAGGCCAAGGCAAGGAGGACAGGGATTTGGACACTCAGAGAAGAAAGAGGGAGGCCCTGGGAGGAAGTGGAATAAAAACAGGGTGTTTGTGTGTGTGCTTCATTGCAGAACTTTCCCCCATTCCCAGAAAGTGGCACAGAGACAAACCCACAGACAGTAAGACACAGATAGGCGGAGAGCCACAGGTGACTTTGGGAGGCTGCCAGGGGCAGGCCTGCAGGGGAAGAGAAGGAACTGGGAAGGAAACAGAAAAGATAGTCAGCAAGCCCATGTAGGTTTATGGTATTTGTGAATGTCCCCTTATTTTATTTTAAACATTTAAATTTTGTATTATGGAAATGTACAAACCCACACAAAAGAAGAGAGACTAGTACAATGAACACCCACATACCTGTCACCCGGCTACAACAGTTGTCAACACTTGGCCAGGCTTGCTTCACTGTCATGCCTTCCGTCCCCTGCTCCTCCCACAGATAGCCTACCATCTCATTCCCCCACAGAATTCTTAAGCCCTGCACAAGTGACCTGATGCACAAGTTCGCTGTCAAACCTTTACGAGCCCCTGCCACTCTCCTGTCTTCATGCTGTGAGTGCTCACACAAGGTTCTTAATCTTTTGGTGCCTCAGTTTTCTCATCTGTGAAATGGGGTGATAATAGTACCCCTCCCATGGGGCTGGTGTGAGGATGAATTAATTAACATA